GATGACACATTTCCAAAAATGTGCACGTTCATACGGTACTGGGTTACCGGTTTTGTCGGGTTATTATCCTGAAACCACAGGAAGCGCATGTAGTCTCTCTATGTACTTGGCAGACGTGGAAGTTATGGAACATCTGTTCCACGTCTCCCATTATGCCTATTGGGTTGCATCTGAATCTAAGTAGGACGCCAAGCAAACTGTTCATTTGATCTGGTCCCTGTAACAGGACATCGTTGAGTGATATACCATTAAACTTTGAACTCGAGTCAAAAACCACTCTGATATCTCTGAGGGTGTTGCACTGCGAAATGTGGTAAGTACCATGTATTCTTTGCATTCAATTCAGTTGTTGGAACTGGACTTGCGTGTTCGCGTTTGATTAATTTCTCCATGTACTGAACATATTGGTTCATCAAGTCCGGATTGCATCTGAACTGGTTCCGGAGGTTGTTAAAATGATTAAATACTGACTGATAGTTGTTTGGCAGTTGTTCTGGTTCCTGTTTAAAGGGTAGGGGAAGTTCTAAATTGCCTTGAGTATTGACATGGGAATGCTTATCCATGATATCCAAGAACTGTTTGTCCTCTACCGATCGCGATTTATTCTCATCCCTCGCTGTCTCCTCAAAGACGTCAGTATTCCTATCTGGTTTAGGTACAATTATATCTTTTGCATATATGTGATTGTGACACTGAAATCTTTCTCTGGTACACTGGTTCGTGTTGTATGATGTCACATCGCAGCTTGCTGTCGTGCGATGAACAGAAGCACGAATTGTGCCTCTAGTTGTTTCTAAACATAACTCACCCGATACAGTCCATCCTAAATCTGTGCGTTGAGCCCAAGGAGCACCAACAGGGCCATTTCTGTTCTCTCTCACCTTTAATATTTCAGGACAATTTCTGCCAACGAGGAGCTTTATACCTATGTCTTCTCTAATTTCTGGAATCTTATTAGTGATCGGTTTGAGGTGATCAAATGCCTTGCATACATCAGGTGTTGGTATTTCACCTTTGTCGCTGGGAAGGTCATTGTTTTCTAGTACTACAGGGAGTGGGTATTGTTTCTGTCCGTCACAGGATTCAATGATAATGTCAACACCACACCGTCCCTTCCTGTTCTCTCCTTTTGTGCTGCATGTGGAAAGTTCGTATTCTAGGTCAGGGCCGTGAATTCCCACTGAATTGAAGAGACTAGTAGTTTCCATACAAGCGTTAGACTGGTCGTCAAGGACCGCACATGTTTCTATGAAGTCGGTCGGCCGACCCTTTCTGTACACTTTTGCTAAGATTATCAAGAACGTCCTGCCGAACACTTAGATAACCTTGTACACCTAGTAGTAACTTCTTGATTTGTATCTGTTTTATTGGTCGTTTGTGGTTTTTCTGCAGGTGATGAATGGAGACAGGTTATGTGTCTCTTACTTTGGCAAGTTGTGCATATTATCTCAGCAGTATAGTCTTTGGCAAGATGTGTTTGTGTGCACCGGAAGCACAAACCCTTTTTTCTACATAGTTCTAGCCGTTCTCCTATTGGTTTTCTCATGAATGCTTTACACTCAGTCAGGTCATAGCCAGGAGTCTCGTGGTAGGCACCCTGTTTGGTATGATCCTTTGTGTTTGTGGAAAAAACCCGGGTTCTGTGCTGTTGACTTGCTTTACGTTTATTTGGTCTGATCTGTGTATTATTAAAGCGGGTAACATCAGGATCATTCTGTGTCTTTGCTACGGTTGTAAGAAATTCTGTGAAGTATTGAAATGTTGTGAATTTCTTGTTGATCTGCTTGTAAGTCGCCACTCTCTCCCTCCATCTGTTCAATACATATGATGGCAACTTCTCAACTACTGGATTCATTCCATGTGGAGTATCAAGTATAATCAGATGAGGTAGGTCCTTCATGTGTGCAACTGCGTCAACGCACAAGTCGAGAATTCGCTGGTTGTCGTCAGCTTTGATTTTGCTGAATGTACTTAACTGTTTTATGATGATTGAGGAAATGACGGCTGGGTTGCCAAATCTTGACTCCAGTTCTTCTTTGTATGCTCTTTCTACGTTTCTCAGTCGATATCTGTCTACCAGTATTTTTGTTGTACCTGTGGTGTACTTGCCCAGAAAGGACAAATTCTCTGCAGTTGACACGCAAGCCGACTGCACCAGGGTATCAAACGCTCTCTTCCAAGGCCAAAACATGACGGGGTCACCACCGTAAATCTCGGGCTCCTACACTGGCAGGCGTTGTCGAGCCAGTATTCGTATGTATTCTTCAGAAACTGAATGTGTGTTGCAGTCTGTCATTCCAAACTGTCTCTCCGGTGCTGTCATTTGTCGCTCAGAAGTTTGTTCAGCTCGTATTGTGAATGGGAGAATCGATATTCCATTCGACAACGGGTTAGTAGTACGAGTTTCTTGTAATTGTAAACTGCCATCACTGTTTGTTTTCGGATGTTTCTGTGAATTTTTAGCCAAAAATGTATTCACATGATCATTTGATGACTGTTCTGGGGTTGTAGGGAACAGTCCATTCTCTTCGTCTACAGCCTGTTGTAAAACGGTCGCTGTTACATGAGCAGCTTCAGCCTTTTTGTCGGCCTCAAGGACTCTAATTTTTGCCTTCGCCAAAGCATGTGTTTTCGCTACACTAAGTCTGGATGACGTCTTAGATATGTTTGAGCTTGAAACTGATTGTCCATATTTTGACGACTTTGTAGTGTGTATGCTATTTCTGGAAGATGAGCTCGAGACTGAGGGTTCGTATGGCTCTTTGTGATATGCAGTTTTTCTCATTTGTCTCATCTTCGCTTCATTAATCTCTGTGTCAATGATTCGCTTGTTTCGAAGAATCATTTGTTTCATGTATTCTGCATCATCGCGAGAATCACCCAATTTGTCTTTCTCATACAGAGCTTCTAACTCCTCCCATGTCAAGGCATACTGCTGACTGAGCCACTCAATTTCTGAAATTATTTCACTGGGATCTGTGACTTCGATACATGATAACTTTTGCTTTGTTTGCTGCCATAGCCCATGTAAAATGTTCTCTGTTTCTATAATTTTGTTAGTAAGAGCTTTGGCTGAGAGAGTTCTCTGTCGTTGAGGGCGCCGTGTGATATCATGTTCAAATCTCTCATCTTCCTTATCTTCTAAAGGTTCAGATTTTGTATTACTTGCCATATTTTAGCGATTTTCTATTTCACTTACGTGTTGTAGTCTTGATAATCAGTGCGGATGTGTGCATTCAACAACACTGCTGATCACAGGTTTGGTTTCTCTCCGTAGTGTAGACTAATTTTCACTGCAGATACAGACTTCGAATATTCATTGTTCTGGGGTCTAGGTGTTTTTATACCCGTACTTGTGATCAACCACTTCGAAAAACAACCACCCACAAGTGCTTCAGGGGATAATCATTTATTCCAAGCGGTGAATACTACAAACAGAAAATGACAGTTTGTCAACAACAAAAGTAGCGTACAATGTGCTATGACAAAATCACGTGTGAAACGATATTTCGAAAAATACATCAAAGATTCACAATTATCACTCAGAATCTCTTAAAACATAAACTCTAAAAGATAAAACAGTTACAATGAAATTAACCTACTTCGTTGGGTCTATAATGTTCTCTCACAGGCGTACTGAACGCCAAAAACCCACAAAGTCAATCGCCGGTGTGGTCAACTTACTCGTAATAGTGTCCAAGACGTCAATAAAAACGAAAGTACCATAGAGGGCGTCAACACGTAGCTCTATCTACGGGGGGATACAAGCGGCCCAGTGGAAAAACACCATTCAGACCATTACTGTGCTGTCATCGATAATTAAATTTTCAGTGGCAAAATACTCAAACGTGAAATGCTTGGTTAATTAAAAATAAAAAATACCCCGAAAATTACAGAAACATCGGCAACGGGATGCTGTTTTTAAACACCGCAGAAAAATCGCGCACTCTGCGATGCCATCTTGGTTACCTTAATCAGAAACCCCCTTGTCAGCGAGCATGCATCTGTAGCGATGTCGCAAAGTACGTTGTACAGCCGTGCTCGGCGACCTCTGGTACTATGGCACTCTATGAATGAGGTATTTCCAGAGGTCCGGGTTCGTTTTAATTTTTATCTACCCGTCTCGTTTGCTCGTAGTTGAATGAAACCTGTTTTGATTTACAATAGTTGTCTTCCATTTCGACTTTTTCTCACCGGTGTTTGAGCGATTGAGTACAAAAACTGCGAATAGCTGTTGTGTAGCAAAATATTACGGCCCATTTCAACATGGCCGTCTAACTTCGCACGGTCCATTTCACCGGAGATTGTGAAAAACTCGATTTTTTTAAAGGTTTGAGGAAAGGTAAATTTAAACTCAACCCACCCAATCAATGGCGATCGCTATGTTTATATAACTGTATGAATATCGGCTTTACGTAATCCATTGTGCCCCTCCCTAAGTGGAAAAGATAACACAAGGCCATGACATTTTTTACCCAAGGTTTTGACTCCGCGGACGATTTTACGTCAGTTTCCCTGGTATTGTAAATATTTTTTATTTTATTTTTTTATCTTACGATTGAACATCAGCAAGCGTCGATGTATGATGGATTTTGGCATGTCGTCGTGGTGCAATAGCCATTTTTGTTGACGATTAACGTCACTTTCATAAAACGGCCATTATCTCCGTTCGTGTTTTCTTGTTGGTCAGCGAGATTGAAAATTAATTAGCTCCCACAGTTTTTGTCAGTTTGTCTTGACATTTTCACACTATTTTGACATCGTCTCTTCGAACAAAAGGACGTCTGGGCTTATTTTTAAAGCGTTGCATTCTCGGACAATGACATTCGAAGTGTGAAATACTGACCAGGATTGACTATACGGCACACATCCTGCTTGACAACTTTGTAAATAAACAACTGATTAACGTGGATTTATTGCACGTGTGCGTAGCATTGTCGCCCCCATGGATCGAATGGTATTGTCCTATTGTTAAACGCTAACCAACATTAGTAAACATCATGGCGGACTTGACTCGCCGGAATGCCCGGGCGTCGATCATAAAAAGTGTGGATATCTACTTGAATTCGCCACTCTGTTTCAAATTTGAGCATAAACAAATATTATACAGTACTAGGATTGCTGCCGCTGTTCCACGCGTTAGGTATTTCTCCCCATTTGCCCCCGCGCGTGCCGGGACAGTCCCACGCATCAATTAGTAGGGCCGTGGTAAACTGAAAAAGTGTTAATAATATTCTTTATGGACTAGATACGGCTTTTGCGGCCTGAGGTTGTGCGGCGGAAGTGCCCGAGCTTGCGAGGGTGCGTAAGCCGTACGATCGAGGGCAGCAAAAGCCGTATCCAGTCCATAAAGGTTTTATCATATACCTTATATGAAAAAAAAAGTCTTTAGTTATGTTATTTTTCGCTCGTCTTTCACCCGGGTTTCGATACGATTTATACGGAGGATTCTAAATGACGCAAACGCGTCAACATCTCTCACACAATAGACGTCAGTGACAGGGATCTATAGACAAACGAATGTCACCAAGTATATCCACTAATTACGTTTTAATGAAACAGCAAATGGACATAAATTTATAACAATATTTTAACGGTAATAAATAAAATAATAAAAATTCATTATAAACTGGCTTTTTTAAGAATGGACATTACAGTCCAGCTAAGTTGGTCATTTACATGACCGTCCGACAACGGACGATTTCTTGGAGCTGATGTTGTAGCCACAGGTAAAGACGGGTAAAGACACGTTAATTTCACAGTTGAAAACCGTAGTCGGTGAACGAGAAACAATTGCTTGACAAGAAGCAGTTTGGTTTACAGTTCCAGATCCTGGCGTAACCAACAATATTGAAATGCGCCGACGATCTTCCGTTGAGAGACAGTATCGTCAGACGGTCAGCTGGCATCGGTGTCGCTGGGTGTATCCCGCGACACCGATGTCAGCTGAATGTGAGTATCGTAGTGCTGTAAACTTTACACATTTTTGTGACCAGTTATATTTATGATTGGTTGTGGTGGAATGTCGGCTTTCGTCAAGGTAATAATGAGTCCAACTGGTGTTTTCGGTATATTTTTCATCCACAGAATAATATCGTTAGCAATTATCGAAGCACAGACGCAAATTACGCGCGTTGTTTATGAACAGAAAGTAGTTCCTGGAATTAGACGCATTTACCAAATATGGTAAACGGGGCCCGGGCGTGATATGGAAAATTATTGCACGGCTCGCGCATCGGGATTCCCATAGCGTTACGAGGCCGGGCAATACGAGGTATATGATAATGGCTAATTTGCATAACCATTCACTCAGTAAGAAGTTTGCTAATGCTCGTAATTAAATGGCTGTAACAGTTCCAAATTTAAACCTATTATCGTTTTGTAAAAAGTTAAATATAGTGCATAATATGGAGATCCCGTCATTACTTTTTTTTTCACCTTGTTTCTTTTTGATTATTTATGTACAGCCTTGCTAAATCTTGCTAAGCATTCAAAAAAGGGAATGTTTGTACCAGTATTCTATATTTTAAAATCGTCTTAAGTATGTTCCACTATTCATAATGCTGTGAAATTTTAACAGTCTATAGCCAAGCCTGTTTGGATAATAAAAAGCAAAAAAAAGAAAATTCACTCCCAAGTGCCCACGAATCTGCATCTATACCTTAAATGCTGTCAGATGATACAATTTCTAATTGATGAAGATTGAATATGATTTTAACTTTTTGACTGCAGATTTTACTCTAATGAGCCACACATGGAAATTTGTATTTTTCTCAGCTAATAATTGTCCCAGGTGCAGAAATGAGAAACAAGACAATTTTCCCTGGCTTTCTGTCTTGAAATTTACTTGGCCGTTCCCTGAATTTCCTAATAAAATTAAAGCATTTTACATTAGCTTTTTTTTGCAACACGTCTTTATTTCAGCAATAATAAACAATAAATATTTATTTTCAGCAAACTAGTTTATAGCTTCGACAGTTTTCATTCCCGAATACACACATTGGAACAGGCACCGGCCGTTGATGTGATTGGTATTGGATTAGAGTCTGGAAAAGTCATTATCCATAATATCAAATACGATGAAAGTATAATGACATTCACACAGGAATGGGGACCTGTTACGACCATAGCATTTCGAACAGGTGAGAAAATAAGTATGCGTTGTTTGAATATCCCACTTTAAAATACTGTGTATTTCAGTTAGCATCATAAAAGAACTGTCCAGAAGAACGTCCTCGACGAGGGCAAAATTTATCACGGCAGACAACACATGCAGATGTTACACATGCAGATGTCAATGAAATTAAAGTGAAATGGCTTCAAGCTGCTGTTCTTCAATGTTTTTCATATCTAAAGCAAAAAATTCCAACTTATGAATCTTACCGGTAACTTAAAAGTGTTTGAACGTTTACAGGTACATCATGTCACAAATATGTATGTGCATTTGTTTCATGATCCC